GAGGGAGGGGGAGGAGTACCTCAAGGTCAGGACTCCAGTTCCACAGCTGGAGGCAAGCTAAGACATAGTCTCATGGTACACAAGGACAATTCCAGCTAAGTTCTCTCTCCGTGTGTGGCTCTGAGGTCCCATCCTCAGAGCCTAAGGACAGTGGATTGATTCCTAAGGCTAGGGAAACTAGCCTAAGCTAGGGAAACTTCTAGGCATCTGTCTGAAAGCAGAGTCCTGACTCCATTACCTGCTGATGGAGACAAAGACAACAAGTAGGAAACCAAGAGGACAGTTATTGTTCCACCCAAGCACTTCCCCGTCTTGAGCTCATTATTGACTCCATGGGGAAATTAATAGGCCAATCCTTGAACAAAAACATGATTTCCCATGAAATCAGCAATAGAAAGGAGAGATGGTGAACACACTCTGGGCTCTGTTCATAGAACTATGGTCTGCAATCTACCTTCCCTTCCATCACCCAACTAGAGCGTATTCTGGTTCTTCTGAAAATGAGCTTGTGAATGGAGATTTCCTTTGAAATCAGTAGATTGTGAGTAAGGCAGATGGTTCTCCACAATGAGTGGGCTTCATCGATCAGGAGAAGACCTGCCTGGAATAAAAGGCTTATGTCCCTTAGCCAGAGGGAATTCCGACAGCAGATGGTCTTCAAACTATGTTCACCCTGGATCTGCAGCAGACAGTCTTGGGACTCAACTGCAATTATCTCTGCATCGTCCAGTGTTCAGGCTCCTGCCACTAGTTTCAAGGCTCCACGGTGCCATGAGCTCATTCCTATGCTATCCTATTGGCTCCACGTTGTTGGAAGTTCCTAACAAACCCCTTCCTGTTGAGAGACAAGGTCCATACCATCTTGTGTGGGTCCAAGGAGACACTCAAAAGCCCATGCTGCCTTCCTGAAAGAACGCCTATAAGATGATCAAGGAGAGCTGGGGAGATAGTACAGTCATAAAATTGCTTACCTTACAAGCATGAGGACCTGAGTTTGATCCCCAGGACTCACATAAAACAAACAAACAAACAAAAACAGGTGTGATGACAAGCATTTATAATGCTAGCATTAGCAATGGAGAAATAGGCAGCTCACTGGGGAATCACTGACTAGCTAGCCCAGCCCTTGGTGAGGTCCGCCAAGACAGAGAGAAACACTGCCTCAAGAAACAGAGTAGACAGTACTCAGAGTGGATATCAGTACTGGAAGAATGATATCCAAGATTGACTTCAAGTGTCTATATGTGAAAGCACACATCTGCATGACCACACACACACACACACACACACACACACACACACACATACATACATATAATCAAGGGATCAGTTATCAAAGGTGACAGCTGTTAGCAGGACAATCTTGGAAACAAAGTTCAAGGAGAGAAATCAGTAGCCAACAGTCAAGTTTCTTCTACAAGACCTGAGCTCAACACAAAGCACCCTGCTTCTGTAAGAGCAAATACCTGAAAGGCCCTCTGGGAAGAGCAATGTCTAAGAAGAGCAACCACAGCCACCAGTAGCCTGGAATTGAGAAATAGTCCCTCACCAAAGTACATCTGACAGGAAAGAAATAAGTTCAACTACTCAGTGAAAGCGAGGTGGAAATAACAGAACTGCTCTTATTTTGATGGATGATCTGATAAAACAATATAAGATGATTACAACAATAAAACCAAATTACCAAATACTGTTCTATTTGTCTTGTGCTATGACGTAGATGCTTGCATGGAGTAGAAGGCTGGACTGTCTTTGACTTTATGGAACAATAAAGAAAAACAATGACAGTGGTCCCTTGCTGTCACAACAATTTAAGACACACACACACACACACACAGCCACCTTTCTATTTCCCTTATTCTTACCATAGCTAGAAGCTCTGTCTACAGGAGACATTTCCATCCAGATAGCAACATAGCACATGGAGTTAGCTCTTCAGCAGCATGGTGATCACTGGCTAGAGGGTTGGGAGACAGTTCAGTCTGTAAAGTGTTTTCAGGACAAGCATGTGGACCCAAGTTCAGTTTCAAGAACCTTCATAAAAAGCCATGCACAGTGGTATATACTTGTGGTCCCAGCCCTATGGAGGCAGGATCCTTGGGGCTCATTGCCTAGCCAGCCTAGTTTAATGGGTGAGCCCCAAGCCCAGGGAGAGACAGAGGGAGAGACCCTGACTCAAAAATCAAAATGAGAGGGACTGAGGAGGATACCTGAGGTTGACTTCTGACCTCCACATACACAAGCAAATAGTAAGTTCACATCTCACAGACACACATGAACATGTACACACTCGTAGAAACAGATGAAAAACGGCTCAGATAAAGCCACTGGTTGCAACAGTCTTAGGGTAAATGCAAAGCCAACAGCAGTGACACTCAGCAGTGGACCTGGTGCTGGGAGATGACAGCAGCTGGAAGAGGAGAAAGCTACAAAGTGATGGAAGAGCTTCGGAGAAGCCATCGTCCCCAGCACAGATGTATTTGCTCTGAACTGATCCGCTAAGATGACAGCGAACTTTTCACCAAGGCTTCTGAGTATTTTTTTAACCCCATGTGTGCCAAGGTTTCCCAGGTTACCTGCCAGGTGCTAAATACCTATCCGGCCTTTTCAATGAATCTGAATGCAAGCAGTCTCCTGGCTAGGATTTCCTCATATGAGTCCCGCAATCCTGGCGCCTACCCACGGGTCACCATACCCTGACCACTGCCTTCGAGTTAAACATTTCCCTAAAGGGCCAGCCATTAATTAGAAAACAGCCTGAAATGAGGCCTTCCGCTTCATCCGTCACTGACCCAGCTATGCCATTCCTGTTCATGCATACAAAACAGCCCGCTCCCTACCATGGAGATACTCGCTCAGCCATGTTTATCGCTGCTCTGTTCACAACAGCCCAGGAAATGGAATCAGCCCAGATGCCCGTCAACAGATGGATGCATAATGGAAATGTGGTAAACACACACATGACAGAAATATCCAACTGTTAACAAAAATCAAAACTTCAGCAAATGGATGGCACTGGGGGATATTCTATTAAGCGAGGTAGTGTAGACTCAGGAAAACAAGATCTGCATGTTCCCTCACATGTGGATCTAGCTTCCGACTGCTACGCATGCGTGTTTGTGTGGCAGAACAGGCAGAGGCCGGGAAGCCGGAGAGGAGGCTGTGAGAGGGAGAACAAGAAAGAGGTAGATGAGTAATAGAATGCATACGATATGAGAGGGAAAAAATGAGAATGTTGGAGGAGGGGTGACAGAGTACCAGCAGAAAATGGGGAGATGGGTTCAGGGAAGGCAGATCAACCACAAAGGAAGTACTATGAGAAGGTCCTCAGGAAATTGGTTACTTTGTAAGCGAATTCTTAAAAAAATAAGATAAAATTCATTTTTAAAACTTCCAGAGTGGCAGTGCTCATTTGAGATAGGTTGTTCTGTTTTTGTTTTTCTTTATTGACATTGCCTTTTCCAGAACTAATCAGGCCTCAGAACAATTCAGTGACGGCAGTAAGGATTGGAGCTGTGTGCATCTTCCCTTCGAGTTCACGAGGAAGCCATGGCACTTTCCATCACTTCTCCTTCTTCTTCTCTTCTGGGACTACTTTACCAACCTGGTTCTGCATCACTTCCTCATTTTTTCTACAGTCGTCAGCGCAGCTCTCACTGTCATGAGGGAACACTCAGTATCTTCTATATTTCCCCCATAAAATGCATTGCTAAAAGAGGCTTCCCTCGGGAAAGGGAGCGGACTGCTCAGAAAGGGCAGGCATGAAAGACAATCTTGGCTTTGTAGGAACTGCTTGCTCATGCCCCACCCTCTGTTACTCCTCCTCCACCTCCTCCTCCTCTTTCTCTCCTCCTCCTCCTCACTAGAAGAGATAATGGCTTTGGATCAGGCTTATCCTCATATCAGTTTCCTAAGATTCACCAGAAATTACCATTTCCACTTTAATTCCGTACCACATTCCTCCTCTTCCAGAGAACATCTTACCAGAGAATGGCATATCTAAGCAATTGCAATATTATGTCTAAAACAGTAAAAAATCGTACATTTTCCGTGTGACAAGTAATATTTGAAAGCCTCTTCTTTTTGTCAGTTAGTCCCATTCCCTTCACTCGTCAATGTTCACACCTGTTATGAAATATAACATCATCCAAAAAATTTTACCTATTTCTCCTCTTGAAATCAATCTAAAACAAGTCGCAATCTTGCGGTATCTGGAAAACCCACGTTTGTTTAACTGTTACAATGGTGGAAGCATGGGTATAAGCGGAGAGGAAAATAAGCAAGAATATGCTAATATGCTAGAGGCAGAAGTAAGGAGTGCTGGGAGAACTGGGTGCCCCCAAGGAAACAGGCACCCAGATTAATAACATTGTCACCTTTTGGGGGATCTTCAGGCAGAGCCTAGGGCCTATCTGCCAAAAAAAATTTGAAGGGAGCCCTAGACTCAGGGATGATGGCCCCGGGGACTGCCATGGCCTTTTGTTGGTCTGATAGCTAGACTCTTGTCAATAACTGGGAAGAAGAAGGCAGAAGAGAAAATGGCCTGCAGGCCCTTGCCCCATGCCCAAGAAAATGAATGCATGGCACCACAAATACCAAAGAAAATGGGGAGCAGGGCTCAGGTCCTCCACAGTGTTTATAATGCCGGTTCCTCAGAGACGAGGAGAGCCTTGTCCAGGCCTTCGCTTGCTGTTCTCTCACTTCTGTAACTAGCCCAAGGAGGGAATTGCCACAGTTTCAAAACCTGAGAAATAGATGGCTTTGATAACCTTCACTCTCCTCCATTTCCCTTGAGTGTTCTAGCAGAAGAAACCTCTACTTCATACTAATGCAAGAAGATCAATCTATGCTTTTAGAACTTATTCTATTGGCTTTAAAAATCATATGGAAACTCGTATATCTATATATGTTGCCTATATATACATACATATATATATATACAAATACATATTTGCTTAGTTTTATTAATATATATTTAGAACTACCAGGTGTCCCCTTACCTCCGACGGCTTCGTGACACATCTTCCTTTCCCTGAACACTCTAAGCCATTCGAGTAGCTGTCTCCAGGCACACAGGTGCTAGCCTTCACCACCAGAGTTAAACGCAAAGCCACAATGGACTTAGCAATGGAATCATTCACAAAACCTGGAAGAAAACAGCACAACAGGAAGCGTAAGAAAGCTCACTGAACACTCTTCCTACAAAACTGAATTTTGCCTGGGCAGAATTCAGTCTAAAGGTCAGATATATGCAGTAACATGAAGGGATAAATAGTGTACATGGCTTCTGTCCATACAGGCCTTGGGACCTTGAGATGCAACAGTCCCTCCAAGCATCATGGGAAATTGCCAAAGACCCAGAGGAGAAGCATCAGGCACACCCATCATCGTCCTGTTTCGGCCCTGTCCTTGTCGTGTGAGAGACACTTTGTCTGACAGTCCGACCTCTGTGCTTCATCTTAGAATTCAAGTTCTGAGTGCACCCTGGTCCTCACCCACAGAGAAAATGCAGATGTCACTCCGTGCTTCCTCCTCCTGGGCGTGCTGATAGTCAAAAGTTCTGGAAATTTCTGAAGGACACACCTTGCATCAGCCCACTCCAGCAGGGGCCAGAGGTCTGACGCGTCAGGCCTCTGCAGGCACGCACGCACACACACACACACACACAGGAAGAGCTTTTGGAGATAGATAGATAGATAGATAGATAGATAGATAGATAGATAGATAGATAGAATAAACAAAAAGTTAATTCTTGTGTATAAGCACTATATTCATTTCATAGTCATGTGTGATTTAATGTAATGAAATTTTTAATTTAGATTCTCTATTATGCTTCAGATATCACAACTTCATACGGGCTTCGTCAGGTAAGAGACCTATACACAGGTTCCAGAAGGGTTTCCTGGTTACCGTATGCCAACCCTTGAACAATCTATTCCCCTCACTGCCCCAAGGCATGAGGACAGGGTGCAGACTTGCATTTATTTTCTTATGAATACACTGTAGTAAAACAAGAAACTGGGTAAGAAACGGAATGCCTTGGGTCTGCCTGGCCCATGTGGCAGCCAGCATCCTCCTCCTAATGATGGTCACTTAAGAACACGTTGCTTCTGGAGATGAGAAATTAGCAACCTTCCAAATAGAGTGTTCTCAATTTAGACTTCCTTGCACCCCAGGGGTGCTGTGTCCTATTCCTAAGGCTCATTACCATAGATTTGTTAAAAGTGTTCCTTGACATGCTGGGTTCACTTTTCATTCTTTTAAATGCTAAATGGAGGGCAGTTGTGGGGCAGAGCGTGAAGCAGCCCTTGAATTGGGGGAATGAAAGGAGTTACGAGGTGCCACAGTTCTCAGAGTCCCTGATGGCACAAGAGGGCTGTCAGGAATTTTGATGAGGCCCTCCGCTCTCAGAACTAACTACTCTTCACAGCTGTGAGGAGTTAGTTTCTGGGCTGCACTCCTGTAGTTCCTGAACATTCAGGCAAGTCTTGTTGATACTATACCAGCTCCCCATATGTCCTACAAGATTAGGATAGTGACCAAACCTTTCCAAACACACTGTGTCAATTTGGTGTCTCAGTGGAAACCAGAAACTGGTTTCTGGTGTAGGGTGGTGTTTCAGTCCGTGGGGAGTGGGTGGCTTTCTGCCCAGCACTTCTATGGTACACAGGCTTCAGGGAGGAAGGAAATGGATGGTTTGTTCCGCTGTGAGGAAACATCCTGCTCACACTTGTACCACTCTCCCTTGCTGACAATACTCCTCCTCCTCCCACTCTGAAGACCACTGAGCTCCAGCTCCAATCTCACATCACTTTTCCTCCATCTTGTAGCCCATGCTGAGACTGGCCGGGTCTACCAGCTTACGTTGTGCACCAGTCCCTGGCTATTTTGTCTTAGATGACTCCTCCGACACCACATTTACTGGCTTCCTTGGTGGCAAAGAACAAGCCTTGAAAAGGGTATGGGTAACACAGGGGTCAAGAGATAGGTACACAGAGACAAAGCAGCAAAGATGGTACCCCAAAAAGAATGCCTTATGAAATATATACTATGTCCAAGGGGTAGGGGTGGTTTACAGGTACAGGACATGCGTATTCATGTGAGTGCATCTCCGTGAGGAGGTTTTTAGCAACCTCAGGTGTGGTTCCTCAGATGCTGTCCGCCTTGATTTTCAGGCAAGGTCTCTCATTCGCCTAGTACATACCAAGTAGGCTACGTTGGCTGCCTAGCATGCCCCGGGGATCCAGCTGTTCCCACCTCCCCACATCTGGGACTAAAAGCACAAATCACCATGCCCAGATTTTATTACACAGATTCTAGGGTCAAAGTCATATGCTATTAAAACAAGCATTCACCAAATGAGCCATCAGACCAGCCCATGGTTCCATTCAAACTCTGAAGAACAGCACTCATTGGAATGGACAAAATATTGACTTATCAACTTATGATAACCCTGGGTAGACAAAGTGTGGCTGATAAACACTGAGATTCAATCCCATATAACATTTTTACACATAAAATAATGGAGAAAAAATATGATATCAGTCATTATGAAAAACATTTTCACATTAAGTACTTCTAATTTAAAAAAATCTACATCATCTGCTCAGTAACTAATTAGACCACATAATGTTCTACATAATCTTTCTTCCAAAGATTATGCTTTAAAATCCTATTCAACTAGTAACTTCACTTAGTCGGCAGTGATTCAGTCAGGTACATAGTTAAAAGTTCACAAGGTGCAGTTTTCTACGTAATTTGCTTCTGGTTCCTCAATAAGCACTGACGGAGCCCACTTCTACAAACGAGGGGGCCAAGTGAACCAACAGAACCAAGACGAGTCACCCTTGCTTTCTGTCACTCTAAACTTTTCAGTCAAGAGTCACTGTTCCTTAACTAATGTTGAAACTAGCAGCTTCAGCCAGGCCTTGCAATATAGGCCTACAAACACAGATCCAGAAGAGGCTGTAGAATGACCACAAGTTCAAGGTCAGCCTGGGCAATTTAGAAAGACCTTACAAATACAATGCAGAAAGAAAGCTGGAGCTAGAACTCAGTGGCAGAAGAAATTGCCTAGCATGTGTAGTATGAGGTCAGTTCCCAGAAATAAAAAAAAAAAAGGAGCCTCAAAATCTTACAGAACATTCTCCAAACCACATTGTTTCCAGACCCCAATATGCATGCCAAAGAATCTGTGATTTGTAGTAGGATCCTGGCACACATGATTTTGAAAAGATTCCCAGGGGCTGAAGAGATGGCTCAGCGGTTAAAAGTGCTTGCTGCTCTAACAGAGGACCTGAGCCCAGTTCTCGGCACCCATATTGCATGGCTCACAGATGCCTGTAATTCCAGCTCCAGGAATCCGAGATGCTCTCTGGACCCTGGAACATCTACACTCACATATGCGAACACTCACACAGACACCCACACAAATGCATAATTTAAAAAAAGGAAAGACTCCCCAGAGTAATTTAGGCATGTGCTTCCAGTGAAGGATCTGGTAGAAAAATTAATGTAAGTCACACCATAATGTCATCGAAGTGACAAGCATTTGGAATGAGAGGAATTCATGTGAGTCTCCCAGAGTATATTTTATTCACAGGTTTTTGGAATCCAGGCAACTGACGTTTGCTCTTGTGCTCACCATACATGTCTGAAATTCTTAGTGCAACTCAGAAAGAGAGAAGTCCAAACAACGAACACTGTATATGTTTAATAACTCTGAGTGTTGGGGCCTTAAAGGCCTTGCTAAACTATTAATGAAGCTTTACCTGCCCCAATGAAATGTAGGAATTAGCTATTAGCTATAAACTAACAAGCTAACTATCCCTGAGCTCTGTCCACCTGAGAACCACACTGCCCATGCTATCATCTTTAATTACTGAAAAAAATTGTCTTTCTAAGCAAACAGTTTCCTCTGGTACCCATATTTATAATTTTTTTTGGTATGGTGTGGAAAGAAAGCACTGTATTTAAAGTTACACTAGAGGCTTTTTTTTTAAAACAAAATCTGGCAATTTGAGGGGCTGGAGGGCAGGAGACTGCTCTGTCTATAAAGCACTAGCAGTGTAAGCCTTCAGACCTTAAGTTCAGAACACATTTTTAAATGGGGGCGGGGGAGTAAATGGGACATCATGAAACTGAAACACTTCTGTAAAGCAAAGGACACCGTCATCAGAACAAAACGACTGCCTACAGACTGGGAAAGGAGCTTCACCAACCCTATATCTGACAGAGGACTAATATCCAGAATATATAAAGAACTTAAGAAGTTAACCATCAACAAACCAAGGAATCCAATTAAAAAATGGGGAACAGAGCTAAACAGAGAATTCTCAATAGAGGAATATCGAATGGCATATTCAATATGAGCATATGAGCATAAAGAAATGCTCAACATCCTTAGTCATTAGGGAAATTCAAATCAAAACAATCCTGAGGTTTCACCTAACACCCTGAGATTTTTGCTTATACCCATCAGAATGGCTAAGATCAAAACCTCAAGTGACAACACATGCTGGAAAGGCTGTGGAGAAAGGGAAACCCTCCTCCATTGCTGGTGGGAATGTAAACTTTTACAACCACTTTGGAAATCAATCTGGTGCTTTCTCAGACAATTAGGAATAGTGCTACCTCAAGATCCAGCTATACCACTCCTAGGCATATATCCAAAAGATGCTCAAGTATACAACAAGGACATTTGCTCAACCATGTTTTTAGCAGCTATTTGTAATAGCAAGAAGCTGGAAACAAACCAGATGTCCCTCAGTTGAGGAATGGATAAAGAAATTGTGGTACATTTACACAATGGAATACTACTCAGCAATTAAAAACGAAGAAATCATGAAATTTGCAGGCAAATGGTGGGAACTAGAAAAGAACATCCTGAGTGAGGTATCCCAGAAGCAGAAAGACATACATGGTATATACTCACTTATAAGTGGATATTAGACATATAATATAGGATAAACATACTAAAATCTGTACACCCAAAGAAGCTAAGGAAGAAGGAGGATCCTGGGTAAGAGGATCAATCCTCACTCAGAAAGGCAAAAAGGATGGACATCAGAAGGAGAAAACAGGTAAAAGGACAAGAGCCTACCACAGAGGGCCTCTGAAAGACTCTACCCAGCAGTATATCAAAAC